GCTCGTCAGCATGACGTCTGGCTGGTTGTTTACGCACGAGCAGATTGGCTGAAGGTGCAGTCAATCATCTGGCTGCACTCAACTCACACACTGCACGCAAAGCTCTGTGCCGGACAGTTTTGCTTCACTCTGCACAGCTTTGCGTGCAGTGTGTCACGGCTTAACTCAGGGTTAGCCACAGAAGAATGGGTAATGTAGGAACCGTTACCGTATGTTGCTTGCTACCAAACTGCTGCTCTACTTTTACTTGTTGCAACTCAGTACAGAGTTGCATTTAAAATATATATCTAGGATTTTTTTGGGGTGGATAGAGTAAAGGAAAGGTAAGGGGAAAATACAAGAATATAGAGGTCAGCAGAAAGCCATCAATGGGGCCACCTTTTCCGGTGACCACTATCTAAAGAGAATCTCCTCACTTCCCCTAACTTCCTGTTGCATCTCTGGGAGAAGATGTAAAGGAAAATTTCCCCAATGATACACAGACAGCAAAATGTAAACTGACAGGGGTTTTAACTGTTTTCTGCTGTATCCAAATACTTTAATTTAAAGTGACGTGAAAATCACTCATCCTCATAGTTCGAGTCGACGTGGGACAATGAAACTGTCACGTCAGCTCAATAGATCAGGAAGTGAGCGAAAACACTGTCGCTAGCTCACTTCTCGATCATCTACCTGCAGAGAGCCGTGACTGTCAGTCACCGCTCCCTGCAGGGATTCCCCCGTCCCCTGTCCGATCCTCCAGTGCTGACTGGAGGAACGAATGGGTGAGGGGGCAGGCACTGCTGGCTCTGCCTCTAGATAGGCAGAGACAGCTGTCAATCACGCAGCTGGGTGGATCTCAACAGTAATGTTGGGATCCGTCCCGTCTGCGTTGGTCTCAGTATACCGCGAGCTGTAGCTTGCGATATACTGAGCTTTGGGTCGTGGGAGGACGCTAGTATATGTCCTCCCGTGACCCTTAAGAGAACTATGGGGAAAAACACTTACCCCATAATTCTCTTTTAAGGTACTTGAATGCATTTTGTCTTAATAGCACTCCAATGCACCTAGCCATTGCATATGCAATGCATCGCACCACATGGTAACTTGTTACCATGTGCTGTGGTCAGTTGCAATTACCAAAAAAGGTCATGCACTTCTTGTATTGTAATTTGGATGTAGTAGGCGGCTTGTTCAACTAAATGGGCTGCCCTAACACAATGCACAATACAACACACATGTGGAGTGAATGTGAATGGAGCATTAGTAATAAATGTTATGTGATTTCATAACACCATCAAGCGCAAGGCAACACTGTTAGCAGATGATACACCATTTTCCAAAACAATATATGAGAGGAACATGAAGTTCTGGGGGTCAACAAAAGTGGCAACAGGGATACAGAGCGCAATAATAACCAGGCACAGGATACCACTTTTCCTTGCTCTATTCTAAACCTCAGGAAAGTGTTGGCTGGAGTTCTACTTTAGGTATAGACAGTTTTTATTTCTTGTTTGCAATCCATGTTAATCATTAACTGGATCGGGGCAACACATATTATAATAATGTTACATTATTATCCACGTATTAGAGAAATAGAAACAGGAATCCAATGCAGGTAACTGGTCAATACAGGCCACATATTTTCCTTAAAGTGAACCTATTATATAAAATTACACATTGAACTAACACAAGCCCAAAAAGGCACCAGGCTGCTTATTACTTCAAGTAAACAATTTTAATGAATGAATCATAACAAATCACAGTGGTTTCAACAGAGGACTAGAAGCATAATGTGTAAAGGAGTTAAGAGCACCAATGGTAATTTCTCGACTGCATTGACGGCATCTGCAATACATTTTCCTATTAATTTTAATTCGTTACCTTATCCTAATTCCTTTCTGAGGATGAAGGTCAAATACCAAAAATTGTTTCCCCCCAATATACAAGATTTCCAAAAATGTCTGATGAGTATAGCCAATATGCGCCATTCATATGAGAAAGGGGAGTCGGAATAATTTATCAAGAAAGTGTTATGAGTTTTCTACAGTCAAGCAAATAAAATGCTGCTGTTGGCATTATCAGGAAAGTTATGTGATAATCTTGTAATATAACAGAAGCATTCCTGAATTAAAAAAAAATGAATGTATATAATATTTAATGGAAATTACTCTTAAATGTAATTTTTGTTTGGATTTTCCTCTTAATAACATGGACCACAAATCTGTGGAAACAAAACCTTATGAAATATGAATAACCCCAAGCTTTTTTGGAGTTTGTAATTAATAAAACAAGCCTGGAACCTGGGATGAAAATCCAACTGCAAGGCAAGTAGTGGCAGGGGGCTCTTTTCTTTAAACATATTAAATTATTTTTTTCTCATGTAAATTTTACAAACCAGAAAATTCATACCATGCTGGCGAAAACAAATAACAGGCGCCGTCTAAAATCCAAACTTGACAGATATTTTTAGTTTGATAAACAAAACAAGAAACATAAGTACAAAAGACATAATTCTGCTAATGGATAGGGTGCGAGACAGAAACGAAAGGAACATTCCTGATGATGTGGTAAGGGCTTTGGTTACAGCTATGAAATACCATAGTACAATATTTATAGCATCAAGGGTAGTCCAAATTCAATGGCTCCCCCAACATTTAGAATAGCTTAAAACTGCAGCTTAGTTACTTTTTACACAATTCATCAGAGAAACTGCCAAACTTTACATTATGGGCGGATCCCGGCACAATTGTCGGGATCCGCTTCAGCGTCTCAATTTACCACGAGCAGCAATTCGCGGTATACTGAGCCTAGGGTGACGGGAGGACGCTAGTTTGTGTCCTCCCGTTACCCTAAGGAGAACTATGGGGAAAAGCCTTAACCCCATAGTTCTCCTTTAATTTGCACGTAACTTCTGCTGCACAAAGTGGGCCTAGCCCTCTAAACTCCAAAAATAAAATGCAAAATTAAAAAAAACAAAAAAATATATATTTAAAATTTTAAAAATAATTAAACATTGGAATAAAAAAATTCTTACCCTACAACCTGACTTCTGGGGGGAGATCCGTTGCGCAGGTCCTAATCCTGTCGGATCGTGGTAACCAGATGCCTGTATGTTTAGATCCGGCTGCCCATAGACTAAGATGAATCCGGTAATGTCCATTTTTCCCTCCATTGCAAGATAGAGAACAAAACTACAAGGACACTGATGTCCCAATGGTGACATCCGTTCTGATCAGAAGGGGGGTCTGTGCACAGATCCCCTCCTGACCAGACTAAGTGAAAGTGGCCTTTACTGTCTTTTGATCCTACTGTTTATATTTGACATGCTTTTCATTTATGTCTCCTTCAATGTGCTCCTTCATGGTCACCCTGCCACATGCTCCCCAGGTGAGACTACAAGCAGCTGTGCCAACACACATAGTGCAACAAAATCCATTGTTGTCGCAGTGAGGAAGTTAGTTTTAAGCATGATGTGCAGCCACTGCTACCGTGTTTCCCCGAAAATAAGACACTCATATTTTTTTTGGCTCAAACAAAAAACACACTAGGTCTTATTTTCGGGGTAGGTCTTATTTTTTTTTTTTAATGTACAACAATCCACACTTATTCATGTACAACGGTCTACATATATTCATGTACAAAAATATGGTGATCAGGGCAATCAGGGGTGCCGTATCTTTCCAAGAGCAATTTACTAACCAATCGCTGGCCAGAATGAGCGAAGCGCGCTTCCACTATAGATTCCTAACAGGCGGAGTGCATTTGGTATCACTCCGCCTGTGACAGGAGCCGGCGCTATAGAGGAAGCATCGGCTTATGCAGCTCTGCTCCCTCCGGTGCCGCCTCGCTTCCTCTAGTGCTGGCTTCATTGGCACCGCTGATTCTCTCCTGCCTCTCAAGTTCCCCCTTATGCCACCACAGGCCCTGGGAATGGTCACAACTAGGTCTTATTTTCGGGGTAGGTCTTATATTTTAGCAATTCCCAAAAATAGTACTAGGTCATATTTTCGGGGTAGGTCTTATTTTCGGGGAAACAGGGTAGGGATATGCATGTAGAAAGAAAGTGGTTAAAAAAGCTGCAGAAGATCAGAAGCGCTGAGATGCAAAAAGCAGGAACAAAAAAAGGGAAAAAACTTATTTTATGACCAAAAAAATTAATAAATAGCAATTGTTTAATGACTCACAGTTCTTTAGCAAACTTATTATCATACATGAATTTCAATCTACTTTAAACTTTATAATAGTTTCAACACTTAGTAAATACATTTTTTTATTTATGTTAAACTGGATTCGTTATTTTTGGATATTGTAAAAGCATAGTCGATTCATCTGAAAAATTGTGTATGCTCACAATGAAAAAACAAAAAAGAGGAGTATAGGGGATCCCAAGACACTAAAAGGTAACATATTTTGTGCACGTGTGTGTATATGACTCCCAGTTTTTACAACATGCCATATATGTCACACTATGTGAATATTTAATAGGCAGCTGGATCTTAACAATTGCTGGACCTGATCAGCAATTTTAACTTGACGTGAAAAGCCATGTGCTTAAAATGGTCAGAAAAATCCATGTGTAAAAATGTTTTCTCGTACAATTAAAACTTTATTTTTAGATATCTTAGCTCTAATAAGTTCTAATATAAATTATATAGGTTAAATATTAAACACACTTTCTTTTTTAAAGTAAAACATCCTGAAATTAAAAAAAAATTGTTATAGACATGTTTAAAAGAATCTAGGTTATCCTTCTTGAACAGGAAATACCTTAATTATATTTCTTTAGGCAGGGCTTAACAATTTTATTGCAGAACAAAGATATAAAAAGGGAAAGATTAAAAGGGGCATAAAAAAAGAAACATATTCCAGCCAGCACTGCATTGTAAAATGTCACTATGTAAATTGCTGTACCACTCAAAAGGAGTACGGATAACACATTTATAACTATAAACATCTTTTCTGTCCTTTTCTTGGCATCGTTTAAAGCAAAATGAAAAAAAAGTCCTCCATAAACTTACCGGCATTCAGGTCTTTAAACTTTTGCTTGAGCTCAGCTGGTGTCAGTCTGTACTGATCTAATCCATCGCCCCAATAAATGCGGTCAAGGACCTGCAGGTCTCCCCCCACCAGCCATTCTCCGCTCTCCATCACCATCTGCAGCATAAGCATCAAATGTTAGCCTACAGGAAAGGGTCTCATAAGTAAAAACAAAAACACATTTTCTGCTTGCAAGAAAAACCACCATCATACCTTTACAGAAGTAACCTCTCCCCACACACATACCAGAGCTCCACTAGATAACTACATTAGATATTTACTTGTGAAAATGGCACATTTTATTAATTATTTCATGGGATTTAGTCATAATCCTAGGGAGAACAGCCATAAAGCAAAATGATAGCAGTACCGCTGAACTCCAGAAACAGCAAACTTTCGATCTGAAGATTGACAGCCCTTTGTGGAGTCCACAGACAGTAAATTAAGTATATAAGCCATAATGTGGCTATTTTCTCAACAGATTTTGGATAGACGGACGCTAAAATATTTATTAAAGCACGGCTGAAAACCAGCACTGTTCTACGTTTCCAACTTTCCTCATTAAAATAGTAACACTTTCTCGCCTTGGCACTATAAAACAAAAAATTTAAATAAAAAAGCAAAAGAGATATTTTCCGAATTACTGAGTTAATTAATAAAAAGGTAGAAAAACCAAAAATATTCACGTACAAAAACAAATATCCACATACAATGCTGTTTTAAAGCCTCTCTCTGGGCAGGTTAAAGGAGAACTATGGGGTCAGTGCTTTTCCCCATAGTTTTCCTAAGGGTCACAGGAGGACATAAACTAGCATCTTCCCGTGACCCAAAGCTCAGTATATCGCGAGCTACAGCTGACGGTATACTGAGACCGCCGCAGCTAGGACGGATCCCGACATTACTACGAGATCCACTCAGCTGCGTGAGTGACAGCTGGCTCTGCCTATCTAGGAGGCAGAGCTAGCTGTTCCCGCCCCCGTCCGTTCCTCCATTCAGCGCTGGAGGATCGGGACTGACAGTCACCGCTCTCTGCAGGGAAATGATCGAGAAACGAGCCAGTGACGGTATGTGTGTTCACTCACTTCCCGATCTACTGAGCCGACGTGTGACAGTTTCATTGATACACGTCGGCTTGAATTATGAGGTTGAGTGAAAATCACTCACCTCATAGTTCTCCTTTAACAACACCCCCTAGCTCCAATTATGCAAATGCATTCAACACCTGGTTGTGACTAACAGATGACGTGGATTGGAGCGACATTCACCATATTTATTCCCAGAGAATTTTTGTACAAGTCATTCTGAATTGAGAAAGCTGGTCGGATGACCAGTTAAACATCTTCAAGAAAATATACAGCAAGTCCAGCTGCCTTGACTTATTTTTTACAGATGTATCCAAGCAAACAGCTAAAAACACTGAAAATATATACTTTATGCTGAATGTTTACAGTTATCTGCCAACAGATCTGTAATTCTGTTTAGCCAATCATGTGATTTACACACATTACTGCACAAGCCGGCAGGTGACCATTACCTGGTTCAGCAATTAGGCTTCCGATAGCAACTCTTCATCTCCAGCTTGCTCACTGGAATGACTCGGCATCTTCCTGTCTAGTTAATAGGAAGCAGTAAAGCTGAAGCAGGAAGTAATAAAGAGGTTTTCTGGACTGTGGAGTGTGGCATTGCTGTGTAAATCACAAGAGTGGCTGCAAAGAATTACAATGAACTTGGCAGGTAAAATATTAGTTTCTGGTTCAACAATTTGGTTCCATGTGCCACTACTCCACCAACAGTTTTTTCACAGCACAATAAATCAGCATTATCACTTCTTTCCAGTTAGCAAGGGTGCCAGGAACAGAAAAGCTGAACTTCTGCTGACTGTGCAGTTTGGGGGAGATAGGAAAAACAAGATTGGCCCACAGAATTACACATCATTTGGTAGGTAAAGCGTATTTGTATCTAAAAGAAGAACTCTGGGCAAATAAAACCCTTCATGTGGGCTACAGGTAGCTAAAATAACATCAAACTCACCTGAACCTGGCTGTCTCCTCCTCCACTCCAGTGATAGAATATCCCCTGGCCTCAGACACACTAAAGCAGAGGGGGGAAGAGAGGCTGCAGGGCCCAGTCTAGGAACCAGCCAGGATCAAGGTTTGGGTGAGTACATCTCCATTTTTTGATGTCCCTAGGCAAAATGAGAATTTAACCCTTGCGTGCATGAGTAGCCCCATTGCAAGGGTTAAGATTTTGTGATGAGGGAGCATGGAGCCGGCTTCCAGGGCCAATCAGGAAGCCGGGCAGCGGGTAATGACCTGCTGCCCGGCTTTCTGATTGACAGGGAAGTGGGCCAATCAGGAAGCCAGGCGCCGTGTAATGGCAAATCTTTACACCCCGTCCGGCTTCCGGGCTAATCAGGAAGACAGGTGGCGAGCCATTACACACCGCCTGGCTTCCTTAATGGGACTTCCAGTATCGATATTCAGTATCGACGAGTAGCGAAAAAAATATATTGGTACTCGTTACAGAAATATCTGTATATCCCTAGTAACAAGTTATAAAGAAACAGTGAGTAGTACATCTGTTTCGGAATGCATCCTCTCTAGTAAAGGTCCTGCTTGGAAGACCCAAGACTGGCATACATCTGTTGAATTGTTTTTGTCCAACCTCTGGTCAAATGTTATTTTCACATTTCTAATAAAAGTAAAAGATAAAGAACTGCACAGAAACACTGGCACAGTCACTGAAAACTACCAGCATGTCCGGTCTACTGCTTCGAAGTACACTATGCAAAATGGTTTGGGAGTATCTAGTTAAATAAAACCAAAACATACAAACCCTTGGGGAAGGAGCACATGTTTTCTTTTATGTGACTCTAATTTCTGTTTTTAGGCCAAAGAACAGAAGACGAGAGACTAACGTTTGCAGAAAAACCAAGGCTTTCATTAACAGCACACTGCCTAGATGCACAGCAAACCATGCTAAGAGTGTGTACAGAAATGAGCATATCCTTGTCATATTGGTCAACACGATCTTATGCTTGTGGAAAATGTCTTTTTAGAGGAGATTCCTTTACCAAGTCTAGTAATCACTAGTAAAAGTTATTACAGAATACTCTGACCTGAAAATCAATGTAGGATGTAGAAGACTAGCATCACACAAGAAATGCAGGCATCTCAAAAAAGAAAAAGAAACTTGGAAGAACAATGCAGGTGAGAAAAGGGGAATTGAACATTTCATGATTCTCCCTAATCTGGGATCTCTAACCTCATGTCACCTCTTTAAAACATATACTGTACATCAAGCCTCTACCCATGGCATAACTGTACCTTGATCTTCAGTACGATTATAGATTTCAAAAAAACACAATTTGAGCATTTTTTGTAAAACAAAGTTGAACAGAGCTAATCATTTAACAGGCCTCACCTTAATGTATGGGTGCTCCTTACGTGTTGTTCCCCATTGTCTAGCACAACGTTCTTCTTTTCTGTGCTCATAAAATTCTGGGTGCCGTAATATGGCCACTCTTCTGCCTTCAAACACCAAGGCAAAGGCCGTGCAGCCATCGAGCCTTTGCTTGTCCTCATTGGTAGCCGTCAACACAATGGGTACAGACATATTAATGACACCGCCTTTGGAAATTAAATACATTATTGATTAGACTTTAGGATGGCACATAGCAGAAAATATATCCTTCAGCAGCAACTATAGAAAAGCATTTTTACATTTTCACAGACAAAGCAGAAGATATAGGAAAAGAATATGCTCCTGTACAATGGAAATGCAACAAATGCAATTTAAATGTTTGCAATAAATACTAATTTATAAACACTCTTTCTGTGCGCCCTAGGCCATTATGACCCTTTAATGTGAACCTGTGGTTTTTTTATGTAGAACAAAGTAACAGATTGACGTTAATGGGGCTCCACCAGCAGCAAATACTTATTTTTCCTTTGCTCACTCTCCACTGGTGTACACTCCCCTTCTTCCTGACAGTGCTGATGCGTAGCCATTGGTCAGTCAGGCACCCAGGTGCTGCATGGGGGTAGGGAGTCCTCAGGCCTGTGTAAGATCCAATGTTAAGCCTGATGAATGAACCCTGCGTGGCCCCGAAAGCGCTCATTTTTACTTGACATGGTTCTTATTAAATGAACACATGGTTATCCTGAAAGGATTTTTGGTGTGCTGGTGACATTCCTTCAATTTATTCCTGTAACCACCGGTGCCATCCGCAGTCACTACAAGCACCCTCCCCTTTCATTGGGGCATCCGGTAAGGAGTGCAACAAGTTTCTTTCTATATTCTGTGTAAGATCCAAGTCCCGACCTGGAGTTTAAACTAGAGTTCCACTCTTTGCTCCCGGCAACAGGGCAGCAAATTACAGGTAACTACTGTATATGCAGCCGATTGATCCACCATTAGTTTTCCTTCTAGGGGCAAATCAGAGGGTCACTTTAAACAGTTTCTCCACACACCAGCATTTTGTATGAATATCAGGAAAGCAAAGAAAATAAATAATAAAATGGAAAAATAAATAAAATCTGCAGATAGGTAAAACCCCCTTATATAAAACCAAACCATACAAAAAAAAAAAAAAAAAAAAAATACCCCACATTGTAATGCTTTGCTTCTTCATGAAACCACATCTAATGCTATTACTGTATTTGAATTTGGATATTGAACTAATCTGCTTATAATGTTAATTCAGAATAGTTATGAGAAATCTGGAAAGCTGAATCACACATGCACAAGAAATTCTATGTAAAGTTCATCGTTATGTAAAAAAATGTAAAAAATACACGATTATCAGATAAATGTAAATATGCATTTTCAGCTAAATTGCTCACTTTGTCTGCATTTCTTTTTAGGATCTGGAACTTTTATTCAATTAGTTTGATTAGGGCTTTGAAAACGGCAACCAAAACTCAATTTAATTAGGTTCATTTGCTGAACTTCTATACTGCACAATTAGCTTTGTAATACTACACAACACAAAATGCCACATCTCACAGTGCACATTTGAAATCTAAGTGACCTACATTGTACTACACCAAATCAACCCAGGTCACATAGAAAACAATTGTTTCTATGTGTCCCAATAATACAATAATAATACAAAATCACCTGCACTCCATACAGCGTACAGACCTTGTTGAAAGGTTGGTGCTTGAAGTGATAACATGGATGGCGCAGTGTCTGATACAGTCCATATTAGAAGTCACCAGCACTCGATGTGTGCATGAAGTAAAGCACTTTTTATTAAATTGTCACATGCGTCATACAGCCAACGTTTCGGGGCCACGCAGGGTCCCTTCTTCTGGGCGGCATAGTGACCTAACGCGGGTGTGATGAGTGGTGTGATGCAATAACATGCTGCATTTTATCACAGGGCACTGGATGTCACTGCAGGTAGCCACAAGGCAGCATAGTACACCGCACCGCCTTGCGGGGAGCTGAATGGCTTGTACACACAATGTACACTCCACATAACATTTAAGAAATAAAAAAAGTAAACAGTGACAGCTCTGGCAGTGTGCCCGACAACAATGCAAACAATGGGTCTAAAAATTAAAAACACATTAGGACATTCGCCTTTTTTTATACTTCCACTTCTTATAGAGAAATAATGGTTAGTTGCAAGACTGAGAATTTTTGTGACGAAAGATGTACATGATTTAAAGTGCAACTGAAGCCAAAACTTTTTTTTGAGCTTTGGATAAAGTAAGGGAGGGTATAACCTTTTCTGGGGGGGAGCTTTCCCTTTACTTCCTGCCTGATAGCAACAACAGGAAGTGAGAGGAAATGTGAAGTAAATTCCTGGTGGTCAGCAGAGTCACAAGAACTAGTGTCCCCATTGGAAGATTTGCCATCTATTCCTGTTCTGGTGACAACCCAAAAATTGGGATATTCTTTCACCTTCTTAAAGTGATATTAAAGCCCAATTTGTTTTTTTATTTCTCCTTTGAGGAGACCCTCCTTTGCTGGAGGCTGTTGCTTTTTTTCTTTAAAAGTCTTTCATTCCTCGTTTTCTAGTGAGTCCCCGCAGCGCTCTTCTGCCCGCCCCCTGCACGGGTGCCACCATTGCTTTAATGGAGGTACCCCGTGCGCGGAGTGGCTGTGTGCGTCCATAGGCACACACAGCCCTGTGGCAGGCCACACCCAATCCCTCTATGATTGATTGCATAAGGAGCCTATGGCTCCTCTGCCATCAGTATCCTCCCCCCACAACCCAGAGGTTCAGGGAACAGAGGATCGCTTCGGGGGCGAGCGCAGCTGACAGGTAAGTGTGGGGGGGACTGGGGTAGAAAAAAGGTGCAGGGCCGTTTTTACCCTAATTCAGAGAATGCATTAAGGTAAAAAACGGCCAGACCTTACTACTACTTTAATGGTCACCAGGACAAATAGATAGGGCAAAATTTTCTAACAGAGACAGAACCCCAACAAGAGTCCTAATCCCCGTTTACTCTATCCAAAACTAAAATTTAAAAAGCTTTGTCTTCAGCTGCACCTTAATTATTGCCGGTACATTACCAATGTGCTGTTTTACTAGAATCCCTATGTGTCAGGACTTAGGAGCACACTAGATTTCTAGCAGACTAACGGGTATTTTCCTCTACTTGCAGGGTCTTTAAAAGGAATAAAAACAAAGGAGAATGTGCACTTATTGCAGAAATATACTTTTTTTTGCCCAGTCATACAATTTAAACCCCCAACATAAAAAGGATTGATCACCTCTGAACTATTCTGCACATTTTTGAACCCCCTTTTTTTCTTCCTACAAACCATACTGCAACAATGATGCATACAAATCATTAGCACATCCACATCTGAAGCACTTTCATGTCTTAACATTCTGTCGTGTGACAGAAAGAATCCCGCTACATGTGAAATAATAGCAGGGTTTCACAAATATGAAGGGAGGGGGTCTGTTTCCTGAGACAGGCACAAGTGAGGAAGAATGAGGTGTCTGAATACTTTTACCATGCCAAAATAAAACCAATATGATGGTGAGCACTCAGCATCTGACCTCATTCTCTTTTACTGTAAAGTGGCTTTTACACGGATTACACTATTGTTTGATGTGACGGTACAGTCAAGAGAAACAGATGAAGCAAGGCTTGAGAAACTGGTAAAGAAAAATAGGATCTTGCCAACTGTAAAATGAATACAATATATTATTGGCTCTGCTTTTGCTACCTCACGTAGAATACATTTGAGTCCTGTTCAATAAATGTGCTATACATTTAAAAAACATTTTTCAGGCGTCCTAAGCAGTATGTGATCATTTTAAGGCAATTTGAGCAAATTGTGTAATTATCAGAGAATGAGGCTGCTATGGGCCTTGGAGTCGGGAGGCTCCGGGTCACTATGTAGGCTTACTATTCGTGGGGCTCTAAAGGGCACTGATGCAAATACTAGTGTGCACCAATCATTACTGCATACTTAAAAAATAGACCCAGACAGTAAAAATGGGAAAAAATTAAAAACGTTCAAGCTAAACATCGACTTAGGCTTTAAAACTTTTATATGTACATCTGTGTGAAGTGCATAAGCTGTTTAGTTTACAATTCTTTTTGCAATATACAATATGCAATGAGCGCTCATGTGTAATGTAATCTTAACTGCAGCAGAGAAAAAGCAGGTCTGCAGCCCTCCCAGAAAAAAAAACTGTACTGTCTGGAAAGGCTGTATAAATCTCCAAACTGGATAGACAAAAACACAAATTATTTGGCAAGTGAAACAAGTCAATTTTATGCATTTCATCTCTGTATTTAGCTGTTTGCCTGGAGTTCAGACTTAACAGACAACAGTACCCTTGGCACAAGTTGTCCTTTAAGGCACCCCCCACCCCATTGCAGCCAACCTGGTCCAATACTAAACTTCTGTCCCCATTCCAACATTCTTCGCAATGCAATCCTGCCTGGAACCATGCGGTCTTGCTTCAGAAAGCAGCCCTGCTTGGTCCTCTTCATCTAAGAGGCAAGGTTTCATTCATTCCTACAGAGAGCCGTACTCTTCAGGACCAATGTTGGCCCATCAGTACGGCTCTGTTTTGGAAAGAATGAAGCCAAAGCACGCATATGCAGGATAATATGGCAGTGTGGCTTTCAGAAGCAAGGCTGTGTGGATCCGAACAGGGCCGCACAGTGAAGGTCACTGGATTGAAGATGAAGGTACCGTATGTCTCCAGGTAGGCTGCAGCAAAGGGGTTGGGGACATGCCTCAATTGTCAAACTTGTATCAAAGCTACGGTTGTTCTTTAAGCACCTTGGCAAACTCTTTTTAATGTTAAAGCGGACATTTATATTCAAAAATCAAAGTCTACCAATAATGCACCCCTCTATGTATGATTAATGTAAACCATTAAGACATGTCAGGTGTAAAATGCTGTGATCATGAAATGCTTACACTTGCAGAGCATTCACTTCCTGCTTTGAAAGCAAATTACTTCAGTTTGCCAACAACATGCACACTGGGATTGCTTTGTCATCAGCAGAGCATTGCTGGGAAATCTCATCTCAGTGAAAGACATTTTCCTCCCCTAAGATGATGTGCATGGTCACATGTCTACTTTTTCTTTTTCCTTACCGATAGTCCCTTGTAATGGGGTGGGTGCTCGCAGTGACTGCGG